ATTTTGTACATTGAGGTTTTCCTTTAATTAACTCACAAGCATTTCAGTGCTCTTAAACCATCGAACAAACCCTCTGGCAACTCTTCTAGGTTATTGTTGTCAAGTTGTCTGTATAGGAGAAAAAGAGTTTAAAAGTTGTTACAATTACTTTCAAACTTAATTACTACACTTTAATCACTTTGAACTGGCTGAAAAAACTCATCGGACTGATAGGCTCTCTTTAGTTTAGAATTTAGGAATAACAACTTCTGAGTTCCAAAGTGATTTATTCGGGATTAAAACGACCCTTGTTCTAATTTTCCAAAGAAATATTTCACATGAGGCTTGTCTTTTGAGGGAGCTAATCTTATGGACCACTTTTCTTATATTGGCCAATCATGATCATTGATTATAGGCGACCTTTATCGGTTATGTGTAACACAGGTATTTAAGGATTAAAAAATCCGCTGGATAAATATGAACCATTAGAAGACAATGTGTTTATATGACAAATAGTTTATATGAGAGGACGACTTTCACTTACAGTCGCTGCAGCATGACCAATTGGGAAAATAGATCGCCTCCCAAATTCTTTATCTTATTGCCGTATAAAAACCTGCAGGTTTTTAAAAGCTTTGTCATTTCAATATGTGGAAATGTATAAATCCTCGTTGAGTTCGACTGAGATACTGGCGTAGAGAGAAGGAGAGGGTACGCTTGCGGGTTATTTCAAAAAATGTTTGAAAAATAAGTAAAAATAAATTTTTTATATCAGTATTTGATGTGGACCTGGTTTGTTCGTGATCCATCTCTAGAGATCCACTTCTCCTTTTCATACCGGCTACGCTACTACAAATAAACAAAGTTATCAAGGGAATACAGAACGGGGTTTAAAAAGCGAGAACCATCAACATAAATAACAATATGATCACTAATCAAACTAAGAGGATGCTTTAATGAAGTTATGTTACTATCTTCTGTCCAATACTGTCCATCTAAAAACCGTCGCAGCCCCTTTCACTTTCTTTATGGCCGACTACACCCACCAAGCTTGAGGACCTTCTTGATCATATCTAGCAAATAAATCGATTAAACTCTTAGCATTATGAACAGAGGCACGAGTATCAGTTACTTACAGTTTGATCAACTCGGAATTGTTATTAAGGACTCCAGGTGGTAGCTCCTTTATCTGGTTGTTACCTAACTCCCTACGAGAAGATATTTCCATGTCTTCAGATGAAAGTTTTACCCCTTATGTATTGTCGCTGTGGCAAACCTTTTTTTTTCCCGTTGGATTTACGGTTTATTCGTTTCATGTCGAGATAAAAGAACCGCTCTTGCAATAATACTGATATGACCGATATAAGATCATTCCAAGATGCTAANCGAACCACAGTTCCCACATAGCAGATTACCAGTAGGAAACTAAAATCACCCTATATATATCATCTTAAAGTTTATAAACAACAGAATTCGACAACTTATTTGTTTTTTATTTTCCTGAAATGCAGAGATATTAATTGAGCACAAAGAGAAAACTACTGATGTGTTTTCAATCGATTTATACACGCTTAGGTTGTTTTGCTTCGGCAGACAGTCTGGGTGAAGTCAAGCAGCACATATTGTGCTAAGGAACTGTGGGGCCGATTAATGATTGACGTCTTATTTGAAAAGTAATAAACTTTTCAAGTTCGAGTATGTAATTTTTATTTCTGACCTTTGCGCTCTTGATCATATCTAAAAGAAATTCAGCCAGACGATTTTTTACTTCAACTTTTATCTCACTCCGGGCCAATTTTCACAAAAGATCGGTTCATTGCTATGAGCCCGAATTCGAAAAGTTTTCTCCAATCGGTTCGAAAATCAAAGCAGAGTAAAGCGCTTCCAAACTTTGCTTAGACGATTTGTTTAGTTTGATCCGAGTTTGATTTTTTCCTAAATTCTCGCAACAAATAATGTTTTTATCTGCTAAAATAATGAATTTCGATAGATTACAATTAATTACTTCAGATTGTTGGAAAAAATCATTTTCGAAAGATTTTGGACAGTTCGTACAATTCTATTAAAAGCTGTTATTTGGCTCTATTTGTTTGCTTATTTTAGTACATGGACCTATGGACAGATCGAGCCGACCAATCTAAACTGACTCTCTGGTTCTCAGCCAACAGAGAAACACAAAACTAGGAATAACATCTATAACAACCGGCTACCAAATCAAACAACTCCTCTCCCCTCTGATGATGAATTCCAACCACGTTTCGGATCCCTTAACGACTACTCTCAGTCGTAGGATCAAACTACATGATCAGAGTTTAATGCTTACAATTTCGCAGTGGAGTGTGGAAATTTATCTGGAACGGACTGTAGTTGTCTGTCTTCGCAGCCAACTCGTGTAACCATATCCATAAACCTATATGTAGTTGTACATTGGCAAGGATCCAGACAACCTTAAAAAAAGGAAAGATGATAATCCCGTTGTCATGCTTCATAATGCATTTTATAGTAAAGTTCGGATATAACGCACGCTGTCATTGGTTAAAAGGGCGAGCTCTATTAGAGTACAGAGCACGGAACTGAGCTAAAGCTGTCACACCATTTGCAAATTTGTACTGTATATAGCGTTTTTTTTCGTGAATCTTAAGTGAAATTTTGGAACAAGCGAGCACGCAAGTAGGACCAGAAGAGCCAAAGTGTAGTGTATGCGCTTGGTTCTTGTTAGCATGCGCACGCGTGCGTATTATTCATTCCATGTGTTTTTCGAAATAAAACCGAATACATGACACAAACAACGGTTTGTAAACGTGCCAAGTGCCGTAGTTTGCATTATTTTAACGTGTGCAGAGACGAAAATTCTCAAAAAGAACTAGGAAAATAGACAGTCCGAGTTTTGAAGGTAGTCACGCTCAGTTAGATTGTAAACTTACGTGCGGTAATATCAAGTAAACATGACTCTCACTTGTATAGTATATACATGTATAGTTTCATGTTCTAACACAAAGGAGAACAAAGGAGGAATGG